ACGCAGCTCGTTCAGCGGAAAGACAGCCACGCCACCTGGGCTGGCGGAGGAGGGCGAGCCCCGAGGAGATGTCCGAGCAGTCATCGGTGGGCCTGCGCCTCCACACAGGGCCTGGGGCTCCGGGCTCTTCACGAGAATGCCGAACCGCGCTAGGTGGGGCCTGCTGGCCCCTGTCCCTCTCCTGTCCCTCTGGTTCCCACCAGGCGGATCCCCTTGGCCAGTCGGTACAAGGCCGGGCGCGGTGGGCACACGCCTGGCATCTCAGCCCTCGAGAGAGGCTGAGGCAGGAGGGTCGCTGGAAGCTGGAGACCAGCCTGGGTCCCCCACGGCTCTAGGGCCCTGGGGAGGGACTTCCAGTCCTCCTGGCTGGCAGGGACTAGCAGTGTGGCCTCCCCAAGTGCGGGTCTCCCGGTGCCGGCCGCGCCCTGGCGCCTGCAGAGGCAGGTGACACCAGGTTCCCCGCGCCTGTCGCCCGCGTGGAACACTCGCTGCAGTTTGGCTCACGCTGGCCATCCGTGCCCAGGGTGACAAGGCTCTCGGGAGATAGAAGCGGAGGCCGGCTCCGTGTCTGTCAGACCTCGCTACCGCCCTCCTGCTCTGCCCGCGCGGCACCCGGACGGGCCTTCTGGGCACTGTGCAGCCCTTTATACTCAGCGTCTCCTTTTTTCTTCCGTCTTCTGAGGCAGGCTCTCTCTGTGTCGCCCAGGCTGGCCGCCTTGCGGCGATCCTCCTGCCTCAGCCTCCCGAGTGCTCGGATTGCAGGTGCACGCCCCATGCCCGGCTGCTCAGCCTCTGTCTTCTTGAGAAGCAGCCGAGTGTCTGGAACCCCAGCTGCCGGCGTCGCCGTAGCCGTGCACTCCTGTCCCAGGCCCTGGGCGCACAGCTCGCGCCTCTGTTTACTGGGAAGGGGACCGCGGTGCCTCTACGCCTCCGCCGGTCTCAGCAGTGAGGCTGACGCCCGCTCTTCCCGGAACGCGATTCGCATTGACCTCCGCGCACAGAAACTCACAGGCTGACTGTCTTCCCGATTCAGTGCTCCGCGCAGAGCGCAGCCTTCCTGAAAGGTGGCGGAAGCTCCTGCACCTCGCCCCGCCCCGCCGTGCCGTGCTAAGTGAGGCGCCCAGCGGCCCTTCCGCCTGGGAGGATCGCTCTGGTCCCGGTGACTCAGAGGCCTTTGCATCTTCTGATTCTACAAAGGCAAAGCACTGAAGTTTAAACACTGGCCCACGCCAGGTGTAGTGGCACACGTCTGTAATCCCAGCACTGGAGGCTGAGGCAGGAGGATCGCCACCAATTCGAGGCCAGCCTGGACTGTCAAAATTTTTAAAAAAAGAAAAAAGGCTACAAACACCACCTGGATTCGACCTCTAGGTACTGTGTGAGAGGATGTCCAAAGCACCTTTCTTATTCCTGGTGACAGGCTGTTGTGCTGTTGCCTTCCACCCCACAGCTTGGCCAGCTTGGACCCTCAGCGCTCAGCACTTAAAGTGTACAGGGCACAGCAGCACAGTGACTGTTACATTATTTCACGTTAACATTTATTAATTATGGCAAGGTTGGTTTGATACTGGGACTCTGGCTCAGGACCTTGCGCTTGTGAGGCAGGCGCGGCACCACTGAGCTACATCCCCGGCCCCGTTGGTTTGTTTTGGAGGCAGAGTCTCGCGATGCAGTTCAGCCTGGACTTGAACTCACTGTGTAGTCCAGGCTGGCCTCGAGCATGTCGGTCCTCCTGCCTCAGCCTCCCGAGTGCTGGGATCACAGGCCGGCCCCCACGCCCGGCTACCAGACCTGTATTTTAATTGCATTAATGATACCGCCCCCCTGTGGGAAATGTTTTATTCCAGTGAATGATCCGGTGAACGGTAGCTCAGCTCACGGAACCCTGCTCGGGCCCTCAAGCGGGTGTCACACTGCGCATCCGACCCGAGGGGCGGGGCCGCGTCGGAAAGTCTCCGCCCACTGCCCCCCTCTGAACTCTGGCTGATTCTGAATGCTCTGGAAGACATCTGAGGGTTTCCCTTTTCTTCCCTGGGTGGTTTGGTTTGGTTTGAAGACAAGGGCTCTGGGCAACCCATCTGGGGACCCCCTGTCTCTCAGGAGCCTTTCTTCTTCCCCATTTCTATTCGCTAATAATTTTCCTGCTTTTAACCTCAAAAAAAAAAAAAAAAAGACAAGGTCTTGCTGTGTAGCCACGGTGGCCTCGACCTGGTGGTGATCCTCCTGCCTCAGCCTCCTGAGTGCTGGGGTTACTGGTGTGGTCACTGCACCCAGGTCCTGGGTATCTCTTGTCACTACCGCGCCTCGAAGCCGCTGCTGCCGTTGGCTTCTTTCCCGGCTCCTCTGGGTGCTGCTCTGGCACAGCCCGGAGTGAAGTGGAATTCAGCCCATGGGATAAACTCAAGAGCTCCTCCTCAAACCCCAGACCGTCTCCATCCCAGACTGGGCGCCCTCAGTCTGGGCATGGTGGGCACACCTGTAATCCCAGGCTCTGGGAGGCTGAGGCCGGAGGACCGAAAATTGAAGCACCCCCCGCCCCAGCCTGGGCAATTTAGCAACTTAGCTCCTGTCTCACGTTTTTTAAAAAAGGTTGAGAAGCCGCAGAGGATGTAGCTCAGTACAAAGGGCCTGAGTTCAATCCCCAGTACAAAAAAACAAAACCCAAAAAACCCCTCTCCATCATCAAAGCTCTCACAGAAAGCGTGGTGTTTCTGTTGCCGCCTCTCTTCCCCTCCCGTCAGGGCAGCGCTGCTCCGCCTGAGACAGTCAGGGGGCTCGGGGCGCTTCCCGTGGGGGCCCAGCGGTGACAACAAACACAGCTACTGCTGTGAAGGCGGGGCAGAGTCTTGGCTGGAGTTTTTCCACTGTTCAGGTCCACACCCGAGGGTCTGCAATCCTGGCTTTCGTGCATTTTCCCTAAGGAACTGCATATCCACTGTATGTTTACTTCCTGTTCTTTTCCTTTTTTTTTGAGACAGGGTCTCCCTATGTCGCCCAGGCTGACCTCAAACTCCCAGCGACCCTCCCGCCTCAGCCTCCTTGGTGCTGGAATCGTAGGTGCGCGCCCCTGTGGCGGCGTCCGCGGTGGCAGGCGTGAGGCGACGGTTTTGACTTAGAGCGGAGCAAAGCTGCACGCTGATTTGCAGGGCCCCCGGGACCGTTGCGTGGTGGCGTCTGGGGTCCCCGCGTTTGCTCCCCAGCTCTCGGGTGGGTCCGGGCCGGCGGCGGCGCGTCCTC